GGTCCGACGCCCTCCGCGCGACTCCCGGGGCGCGTCCTCGACGCCGCCCCGGCGTTTCCCGCTAGGTAACCCCGGGCGCGTCCTCGACGCCGCCCTAGCGTTTTTCCGCGGGGGATCTAGCGCGTCCTGTTTTGCGGGATGCCGCGGTTTGTCACGTCGCCTTAGGCGTGTCTAGACGTTGTTTGCAGAATGTTGCGGTTTGTTACGTCGCCTTAGGCGTGTCTGTTTTTTATAATGTCGCGATTTGGCGCGTCGTCGAGGCGATTCGCGTTGTTTACAGGATGTTGCGGTTTATTACGTCGCCTTAGGCATGTCTGTTTTTCATAACGAGGCGATTCTTTTGAGCGATACTTGTCGCCGTGTGTTTACGATGACGAGAACCGTTAAAGTAGCGAATCGGTGCTAGCTATGTGAGACACGAATGATCGACGATGATGAGATGTGTTGGTACCATTCGCTGAATGATCTAACATCTTCTCCATTGCGAAATGTGACGGCGTATTCATCGGTCAATGTGACGGAATATGTTGTGAGAGGGCAATACACACCGATTTCCAATCAATTAAAGAGGCACGGTTGTCGATTTCCGCCTCAGCGTGAGATTTCACCTAAAAAGATAATAGAGGCGTGTGTATGTCATCACTATCGAGGGATGGCATATAATCTTTTACTGGAGGTATTCTACGAAAAGAAGAAGCCGATCGAGATTAGCAGACGACAGGAGTACATGGTGAATTTTCACGAAAGCGGCTATTACGATGTATTCAACGATAACGATGACGACGAGAGGTTTTTTTTGCGCTCATCGCAAGTATTGGAGGAAAAGCGGTGTCGTTTCGTCAGCCGCGTACGAGGAGGAGAGAAAAAGAAGAGAGCGCGTTGACAACAATTGGCGCAACTAAATGTGCGCGCATATAAGTATGTATTATAATCGTAATATAACTATAGTTTGTATATATGAATATGTATAAGAATAAGATTAACTGCGAGAGAGACGGAGTTTTTTCCTCGTTCGTTTGCGTATCGCGGGGACGAGAGGCGGCGACGCGTCGGGAGTCTTCAATTAGCGATACCGATAGGTGACGTTATATTATAGGGAACGTATGAATGACGAGAGGTGGGGATCGCGCGAGGAGGAAATTGTTGCATGAGTGTTAATAATGAGAGATTTAATGTGCGATATCAAGGGCAACGGTATTGGGAATGTATGAGAGATGGAGGTTGCGCGAGGAGGGAATCGTCATAGGAGTGTTAATGACGAGAGAATATTTTTATTACTCTATTGTTATTATTTTATTACTCTATTGTTATTTTATTACTCTATTGTTATTATTTTATTACTCTATTGTTATTTTATTACTCTATTGTTATTATTTTATTACTCTATTGTTGTATTATTTTATCGGACACATAAAAAGAGGAAAGAGGATTTGTAGGATGTTGCGGTTAGGCGCGTTCTGTGTCTAGATGGTTTCCGCGGGGATCTAGCGCATCCTGTTTTTCGCTGTAACGGGAAGGCGCACGTTCTGATTATGTAGGATGCCGCGCGTTTTGTCATTTCGGAATGTTATGGTTGTCGCGTTTTCAACGCTGCCTCGGGGTATATATCTAGTCGTGAGAGGCATTTTCTCCCATTGTTAAGAACGTATATGGAAGCAGTCGCGCTTAACGGTAGTTCATTTTCGAGCGAGAGCGACGATTCATTTTTATGCGCGTTCGATCATAACGTGACGTATCGTGATCTCGACGACGATCGTTGCGAGTTGATTATCGAGAGTTTAGAGTGTCACGAGACTATCGCACCTAGTAACGACGAGGAGTGGATCGTGGCGAGAGAAGATGTTCGCTGGAACGTGGCCACGTATCACTTGCGACGGGGGATCGGTACGGAGAGTCCGCGAGAGAAACTGTGGATCGAAACGTTGCTCGCTCTGAGTGACAGAGCGGTAATCTACGAGAGAACAGCGAGAGAGAGAAAAGTTCGAGACGTTAAATTCGTCGTTCCTACGGATGGTTAGGGTAACACAGTGTGGGAAGTTGCGATATGGAAAAGAGTCGCGATCTTCTCGAACGCGTGGCGGGGGTTGAAGGGGTGTGCGCCTATCGTATTTGGGAACAGGAGTGTATCGAGTGTCTCGAGGTCTTGAGAGATAGATGTGAGAATAGAGTCGATCCTACGGTTACCGGAACGATAAATTCTCTGGTCTCTCGAATAGCGCAGTTGGAGGGTGCGAGATTCGCTTTGAGCTGACGTTTTAGTTACTTGGGTGCAGGATACGAGGTTCGAAGAGATTCGAATGGGTGGATATCGAGACGGCTTTCGCGAATCGCGTACGAATAGGTGCTGTGGTAAACATCGAGTATATCGAACCTCGACGGTTTCTCGAGGACGCGAGGGCCACGGTGCTCGAGCGAGTGCGAGTCGATCTCGATATGCACGCGTGTTTAAAGGTCAACACCATGTTTCACGGGGAGTTCGTCGCGAATGATAAGAGCGCCGTTAAGAGCATTCGCACGAGGAATTGTCAGCTATTCGGTATGTCCGATCTACGAGAATGGTACGACGGAGACGTTATGAATGTAGTTCTGACATCGCTGGAGGAATTTCAGGAACGCGATAGCGGTTGGGCATTACTTCGAATATTAAATTTAATAATCAATGTAAATAAGTGTAATCCTATACACGCTGGATATTGGATGTTACTTCCTCCGAAGATAAGATATAAGAGAGCCGTGATTAATGTACGTTCACACGACAACGCGTGTTTCGCGTGGTCGGTGAAGGCCGCTCTATATCCCGTTGATCTACACTCGGATAGACCGTCGTCGTATCCTCACTATTCATTGGTACTGAATTTCGATGGTATCGACTTTCCTATGACACTACGAAACATCGCTAGATTCGAACGTCTTAACGATTTGTCTATCAATGTATTTGCCATTCGAGAGAAAACGGGGAGGAACGATATCATGATCGTTCCTTTGTCGCTTACGGGGAACAAAAAGTCTACGCACGTAAATTTGCTCTATCTGTCGAACGAGCGGCGCGGCGATAACGTCGGTCATTTCGTATGGATAAAGCACCTGTCTCGACTGTTAACGTCGCAAATAAACAAGCATAAGAAAAAAAAATATATATGCGACCGGTAAGCGTAAGAGAGAGATTATGCTCGTCGCGAGATAAATTTTGTATTAATTATAAATTGTATTTTTTTCAGATGTCTACATTATTTTTATTCAGACGAGAAATTGGTCGCGCATAGCGTCGAGTGCGGAAAAGCGAACGACTGCGCCGTTATTCTTCCGAGCGAGGACGACAAGTTGCTCTCTTTTCACAATCACGACAGAAAGGAGAGACTACGATTCGTCGTGTATGCAGATCTGGAGCGCGTCTTAGAAAAGAGAGATCAACGATTCAGTGGGAGTCTCGATAATAGATTCGCCTATCAACATTACAAGGCGTTTAGCGTAGGATATTATTTGCGTAGCACGTACAACGGAATCGTATCCGCGTATAGATCTCGCCGAGGCAACGACTGCGTCTCGTGGTTCGTCGAGGAGCTGCGCGCTCTCACGTGTCGCGTGAAGAAGATTTTGTGCGCGAGCGTATCGATCGTCGGAGCTGCCGAACGAGCGGAGCGCTTTTCAAAAGGCGACAAATTGTCACGTGTGCGGAAGGAGCTTTGAGTCGTATGATATTCGCGTGCGCGATCACTGTCATCTTATCGGATGATACAGAGGACCCGCGCACGCGAGCTGCAATTTGAACTATCAGAACGCGTTCGTTATTCCCGTTTTTTTTACAATCTATCCGGTTACGATGCATTATTAAGGATATAGCGAACGCTTTCGAGGATCGATTTATTACCATTGACTAAGGAGAATTACATCGCGTTTTCGAAAATTGTCAACGATTCGGCGTACGGAAAATGGAAAACTTTTGTTAAGCTACGTTTTGTGGATTCGTTTAAGTTTCTTAATACTAGTTTAGAAAAAGTAGCTTCATATCTAGATCGGGAAAAATTGAGGATCTCGCGATTCGAATTTTCCGATCTCATCGCGGAGGATTTCGAGTTGCTCATGCGCAAGGGTGTATTTCCGTACGAGTATATCGATAGCGTTGATAAACTGTTAGTGACCGAATTACCACCGATCGAAGCCTTTCACAGTTCTTTAACTGGCGAAACTGTGAGCGTTAGTGATTACGAACACGCGCGAAGAATATGGGAGCGTTTTCACATGAAAACTCTCGGCGAATACAGCGATCTATATTTGAAAACGGATGTGCTTTTCTCGGCGGATGTTTTTGAAAATTTTCGAGATACTTGTATGGAAAGTTACGATTTGGATCCAGCGCATTATTTCACATTACCGGGATATACGTGGGACGCTATGTTGAAATACACGAACGTTCGATTCGATCTGCTCACTGATATCGATATGGTGATGTTCATAGAACGCGATATATGCGGCGATTTAAGCCAATGCTCGAACAGATACGCGCGAGTTAATAACCAATATGAATCATCATATGACTCGTCTCAGTCGTCGTCGTATCTCAGGTACTACGATGTGAACAACCTCTACGGCTGGGCCATGTGCGAACCTTTACCGTATGCAGAATTTCGGTGGGTCGAGGATGTCGAGGGTCTCGATATTATGTCCGTGCCATCTGACTCCGATATCGGTTATATTTTAGAAATCGATCTCGAGTATTCGCGTTATCTTCACGACGACCACGCGGATCTTCCGTTCTGCCCGACGCGCGAGAGAGAGAGACCGCCAGGAAATCGAAACGAAAAGCTACTCGCCACGCTCTACGACAAGTCGCGTTACGTGACGCATTATCGCAATCTTCAGCAGTGCGTGCGACACGGGTGACGAAGATCTATCGCACGTTGCGGTTCGCGCAGTCTCCTTGGTTGCGCGCGTATATCGAGCTCAATACGGAACGGAGAACTCGCGCGAGCAACGAGTTCGAGAGGAATCTGTATAAGCTGATGAACAACGCGGTTTTCGGCAAAACAATGAAGAACGTGCGCAATTACGTAGCCGTAAGACTCGTGACGCGTTGGGACGGAAAATATGGCGCGGAGGCGTTGATCGCGAAACCGAATTTTCACAATAGCGTTTTCGACGAGAATGTCATGGCTATCGAGTTACGCAAACTCGAGGTTCAATTTAACAAACCAATCTACGTCAGTATGTGCATTCTAGAGATATTTAAGATGCGATTGTACGATTTTCATTACGATTATATGATGCCGCTCTATCGCTCTAAATGTAAAATCATGTACACGGATACCGATAGCTTGATATATTTTCTGGAATGTCGAAACGTTTACGAGAATATGAAGCGAGATATCGCGAGATTCGACACCAGTGATTATTCCGACGACAACGCGTACGATATACCGCGCGCGAATAAGAAGGTTCTTGGTTTGATGAAAGACGAGAACAACGGAGCGATCATGACGGAGTTCATAGGACTTAGGGCGAAAATGTACGCTCTGAGAGTTTTGGAAAAGAGCGATACGAAGAGAATAAAGGGCGTCAAGAGGAGTACCGTCGCGAAAATGATAACGTTCGAAGATTTCGCGCGTTGCTTGAACGAATCGCAGCAATCGAGACGTCAGGCGTGCATATGCTCGATGCTGCACGAGGTTTATACCGTGTCCGAATTAAAGCTTTAAGTCCTCACGACGACAAGCGATACTTAATACCCGACTCCACCAATACATTACCGTGGGGCCATTATAAGATACCGTTATTAGATACTAATGTAGTATAAAAAATTTGTACCAATACAGAATAAGTAAAAATTTGTACCAATATAGAATAAGTAAAAATTTGTACCAATATAGAATAAGTAATACTGTACATTCTTTATTCATTACAATACAGTTGTTTTGTGAATCCAAGAGTTATGTGTATTGTCCATTCCTAGCCATTTAACAAAAACTCTATCGTTCTTTCTACGTAGCACTTTCTCAACGAGATAGATATCGGGATTGGAAACTCGCAGTAACTCGTATTCGTAAAACCCTCCGGTTATTGGTTCTTTACGATAGTCTTTCAGTAGATACGTCACGGAATTCGTGCGTTGCACCTTAGCGATTCGAAAAATCTTAGTCGTCCAGTTAAGCGTATATCCCTTTTCGAAAATCGTTTTGAACTTGCTGACGCGTACCGGATCGTTCACCTTGAATCTTGCGGGGGCTGCGATCTTCAAGTGACTGTATATCGTGGAGAGGAGTCGTGGAGAGGAGTCTCTTGGCAATGGCTGGAGTTACGTCCGCCGGTCGCATTCCGATCGTTCGATGCGCGCGATTGTTATACTCCGAGATTAAACGCGGTAGAGCGTCGAGCCATCTGTACGATCCGTTGAGCGTGAAGAGCTTCCACATGTTGTTCTTGAGCGTGCGATTAAATCGCTCCACAACCGCTGCCTTCATCACCGAGTCGAGTAGTGGCGTATACCTACCAGTAACTGCTTTTACGGAAGCGTTGTAGAACTCCTTGCCCTTGTCCGTTTGTAGATTTCGCGGATGTCGAGCGTCGTCGCGAAATATCTTGGATAACGCCGCAGCTACCTCGCTTCCGCTCTTGCTCTTCAGCGGCCCACGCGTATTTGCTCAACACGTCGATGATCGTCATCACGTAGTTGTAGCCTTTGTTTCGTCGCGCGTACGGACGCATCTCGACGACATCGGCCTGCCACAGGTCGTCGTAACCGCGCACCACGACTCGACGACGCGGAAAGTTTCTTCGCGCAGGCGCGTGAAGCTCCTCGACGAGTCTCCTCTTCTTGACGCTCATCGCTGATTTTACGAGGAGACGCGATTCGCGTTGGTTTTATTCGTGCGCGTTCGCTCCTTTTCCTCGTTCCAAACGTTAATCGCGTGTTTCATGGTATTTGGAATATCCATTTTTAATGCAACTAGTAATTCGTTTATCGTTTCTCTAGTCACTATTTTATCCACGTTCAATGAGGCCAGCGTCTTGTCCAGCGTCTCTCTCGTTACCGCTTTGTCCGTCAGCTCTCTCGCGATTCTTGTCAGATCTGTCACGCTACGCGCGAGATTCTCCACGTTCATCGATATTCTCTCGCGACTCGTCGACGACGCGTCGAGCTTGTTTCGTAGAGATTTCTCTAGATTTCGCAGTGATTCCTCTAGGATCTGCGTTCGTTTCTTCTGAGCGTCACCGAGCGTCTCGACGGTCTTTCGAATCTCGCTCGAGTCTCTAGTTCGCACTTTGTCCTGTTTTTTCTCCCAGCTCACGTTGAAACATGAGCAGATCTTTAATTCGTTGGTTGTTTCGTTTATCGAGCGCTTGTTTTGTTTCCCTTATTCGTTTATTGAGATCGACGAGCGAGGCCCCCCTTCTCTCTTCGATCTGTCGCAGTGATTCCTCTAGATTTCGCCTTCGTTTATCCTGAGCGTCACCGAGCGTCTCGATGAGACCCTTCGGATCTCGCTCAGATCTTTCTCTCGTGATTCGTTCCGTTTTTCGAGCTCTCGTTCCATCGCGTCTCTCGTCTCCTCTATTCGTTTGTCGTGATCGACGAGCGAGGCTTTGCTCTTCTTCTCGAGGTGTCGCAGAACGTCCACTCGGTTTTTACGTCGTAATACTGTAGGAGAATATTCCGAATTCGCTTGTTCATATCTTCCAGCTGTTTTCGTAGCTCATTCATTAGAACTTTCGAACTCCTTGCTCCTTACGCGAAGCGTGTCGTCGACGTAACCCTTGGTCGTCGCGTCGGTATCGTCGATCGGTGTATTCAAATGGCATATCTTGCGTCTGTTGACGTCGTAGTCGTCTGAATTAAGGCAGAGCGCGCTGCGACGCACGTACGCCCGTAGGGATGCGATCGTCGAACGATCGTCAACACCGCGTTGCCTCTCCAGAGACTTCCCGAATTTGTTCACGGACATCATGCCCTCGCAGGTGACGAATCTACCGCGCGATAATCTGCTCGTAATCTCGGCGATCTGCATATCGTATTTGAGAAACAATCTGGCTACGCGCGTCATAGATTCCTCCAATTCGCCGATCGATCTAACCGTGCTCTCGTTCATCTCCGACAGCAATATTCGAGTGCTCATCGAGAATTCGCTCGTCTCGGAGATTTTCGTTTCCGCGTCTCGAAACGCGCTGTTCACGTAGCTTTTACTCGCGGCATTGATATCGGTTTTAGGTGTGGCTAAACGCCGTATGATTTTGTCTCTAGCGTCGTCACTTAGACAGAGCGCGTTGTTACGCACATAGCGACGCAAGGAATCGATCGACGGTCGCGAGCGTGCCCTGTCGCCTCCGCCGAACGACTCCAATGGTCTTCCGAACTTGTTCACCAACATAACGGGAATACCAGCCGCCGCGAGCGCGCGCTGCGTTTTACTCGATCGCCTCGATCTCGCGAAGCTCCTCGAGTATCGATAGAATCTTGTTGTCATGAGCATCGTTGCCAGCTCGTCTAGAGGCATCGAGCAATCGAAGACGATCGACTAGTTCGTTGGGATCGTCCCAATGAACGTACTCGATTCCTTTGTCTCTCATCCGCATAACGGATGGAACAGAGTCGATCCCTTTTTTTCTCGCTTTACCAGTACCAGTGCCATTTTTGTCTCTATCGAGCAATAGCGGCACGGTGATATGCTTGTACTTGAAACCTTTGTTTCCTAGAATGGGCATAAGCGCGTTGTGACCACGCCGATGGGCGTTCGTAGTTAACAGTATACTCTTGTACGTTTGCTTGTCGTTCTCCGTGTACACGGCGTCGTCGGGAAGTCTCTTGAAGATCAACTCGTATAAGCCCGGGGTACTCGGATATCGCGTGTCGCCCACAATCACGCTGTCGTCGACGGTCATGTCGAATCACCTGTCGCCAAGCATCGAGCCGTCCAAATCGAAGTATACTCCGTAAACATGATCGATCTCGCTCTGTCTGTCCCCGCTTAGAAACGCGCCCATATATTTGCGACCTAACGGTCCCCATTGTGCGTTCGAGATCGATTCTTCCGATTCGTTTCTAGTCGCGAGACTCACCGTCGCGATCAAGGGCGATCTCATTGAGAGGCGTCTCTTCGTCAATCTAGACGGTGGCTCGTCGTCGTCATTGGTCTCGCGTTTCTTCTTAGCGCCGACGAACGCGATCGGGTCAATTCCCTCGATCGACTCGTCTCGCGCGGTGTTCTCGGTGATTCGTTTCAACGGCTGAACGATCGGCTTGAGTCGCGACGCGCGATCTCCTCTTCTATCTCACCGGTCTTTAACTCTCTGTACTTTTTACGTATAGAGTTCTGAGTCTTCGCGATCTCTCGCGTCATTTTTTCCTGCCGAGCGACGTTCATACCAGCCGCAGCGTCAACGTCCATCCTCGTAGCACAACTGATCGCTTTACACCACGGCGAAATCGTTAAATTCTCGTCTGTATCTACCATTCCTTAACGCGCTGTCTTTATCGATGACTACGAAACCATATTTGCGTTTCCAACACGCGCGACACAAGGTGTAAAAATTCTCATACGACATATCCGTGTTCACGTGTTCGTTGTAAATGTGCTTTAGGTTAGTGCCATCCTGCTTAAACAGAATCAAGAGATTCCCGTTGTCAGGTGTTTTGGAATTTTAGCGTATGTCTGACAAAGATAGAAACAATCGATGTTCGAGTGTCGACCCATGGCGAAATATTCCCTGATCGCGTTCTGCTTGTCACAGGCCACGTCGTCGAACACGAATATCGAATCGGAAAACGCCTCGCTCGGTGGCACGATGTCGCTATTGTTTGAGAACGCGCGATAGCTGATCTCGTCCATCGACTCGAGCAGTTCCGACAAGTATCGATACTTTGGTTGTTGCAAGGATTTCGAGTAGACGTACACGTTCTCAAAGCGCGCGCCGTGCGGACTTTCGAGCATGCTTATCAACACGTTCGTTTTACCGCAATTGGAGGGGTCGCAAATGATGCAACGTGTTCGGTAGTAGAGGGCCGTGTCTGCGCGCCCTCCCAACCGCGTCGCCCGAGATTCGTCGAGCCTTACGGTCGAGATTGAGCATTCCTATAGTCGGCGACCGTCGAACGAATCGCATTTACGTGTGCTCACTTCGAGGAGACGCGATCGATAATCGCTCCACTTATACTCGACGGCGATTCGATCGCGCACAGTGATCGGTATGTTTCTCCTATTGACGGACAAACGCGATATTCTCAATCTATCCACCCAACAGTTGCGACTTATCTCGAAGTTCGTTCTCGTGCGCGATTTCGATAGATACGTAGAGCTATTGTGGAACAGACCGATCATCTGAGAGCGGACCCCGAGATACAACGTTGTCGCGTGTGTCTGGAATATTATAATCGTCCATAGCAACAATCGCATATAGACGGTCCTGCGCCTCTTATCAAAAATTGTAACGAATGCTTAGCGGCGCGAAACTATTCGATACGGCGATAAACGCGCTTCCCTTCGAACTACATATTCCCGGGTATCAATTTTGCGGGCCCGGCACCCATCTCGCGAAGCGATTGGCGCGCGGCAATCGAGGCGTAAATCCGTTGGATGCGGCGTGCCGCGAGTACGACATCCCCTATTCGCGAAATAAGAAATTCGCCGATCGCCATGATGCCGACCGAGCTCTCGCCGAGAAAGCGCGCGAACGTATAACGACCGGAGATTCCACCTTCAGCGAGAGAGCTGCCACGATCACCGTATGGGCTGCTATGAAAGCAAAGACAAAGCTAGGCATGGGTTTGAGAAAGAAGAGAAGGAAGACGACGAGGAGGAGGATACTTCCAACGGTGAAATGCGGAGGCTTGTTACATTTTTCCGATATTAGGCGCGCTCGGTTCTTTAATCGGTGGCGCGGCGGGTGTCGCGAAGGCGGTGAACGCCAGTAAAACCGCACGGCGTCAACTGGAAGAGTTGCAACGTCATAATCGAGCGATAGAAAGTCACGGATTGCATCTAGCGCCTTACAAACGTGGCAGCGGTATGACGAGAAGAACGAAAAAAAAAATCATGGAAAGAAACGTTAGGATCGCTCAAGTTACCGCTCTCCGGCATTACGACGAACGAACAGCTGAACCGCTCAGCGCGTCGTCTACCCTTCTTCAGAGGAGTGTTTATGCGTGACGCATTACCATCAAAGGCGCGACGTAACGAGAGCGGCATCGTGAATCTCGACGACTCGATGGGCTCGGGTACTCACTGGGTCGCCTATGCGAAGAGGGGAAACGACGCGATTTACTTGACGGTTTCGGCAATCTTCGACCGCCGAGGGAACTCGAGAGATATCTCGGCGGCGTAAATATAACGTACAATCGCGGATCGTATCAGACGTACGATCAGAGCATTTGCGGTCAGTTGTGCCTACGATTTCTCTCGAGAATCGGTCGCGAGCCTTTCGTTCACCGGTAAGAGTAGCGTTCTCACGGCGTGCTATTTTCCTGCTTTAGATCTGAGCGATGACGATTACGAGTTAGGTCTCACGAATTTCGAGACGTACAATACTATACCGAACGTCGATTCCACGAATAATAAGTTCTATTACGACGACAAAACGATCGTGATTCCCGAGGGTTCGTACGAATTAAGCGCGATAGACAGATATCTGAACGCCGCTATCTCTAAAAAGCGAAAGATCGACGAAAGCAAGAGGACGAGCGACGATGACGAGAGCGACGACATCGTCTACGACGAGAGCGACGAGGGTGAGAGGGGCGCGCGGTCTCTGATCATTCGAGCCAATGAGAACACTATGAGAAGCGAGATCAGGTGCGAGCATCAAATCGATTTCGCGAAACCGAACAACATCGCTTCGCTCCTGGGATTCTCGTCGTTGCGCGTGCTACGACCGAACAAATGGCACACGTCCGACGGACCCGTGAATATCATTCGAGTGGAGTGCAATATCATGGGTACGTACAGCAACAACGAGCCGGTTCACACGATACACGAGTTTTCGCCGAACGTTCCTCCGGGATATAAACTGTCGAACGCTCCGACATCGATCATTTACTTTCCGATCATCGCGCGAAACGTTACCGATATCACGCTTCGAGTCGTGGATCAAGACGGGCGACCGATCGATTTTCGCGGAGAGGAGATAACAGTGCGACTTCACGTGCGACTTCACGTGCGATGACAAAGGCATTAGAGAGAAATGCGCGAGAGCAAAAAAATGCTCGTTCTAAACGAGTGGTACGCGAGAGGAGGAGGAGACGCAAACGCTACATCCGCAATCCTACCGCAAAACGACGCGACGAGGAAGGCACGCGAGGGAAGAGCGAACGAGCTGAACGCCGCGAACGTTGCGTTCTTAAGATCTTTAGGTTTCGTCGTGAAGAATCGACATGGCGAGCGACATTTTAAGTATCGGAGGTGCTCCGATCTTTGATCGTATCGTGAGAATAGAAACCCACACTTACAATCCGTATGCTAACATTACGTTCGGATACAGCGACGAGATACGAATACCTATACAACAACAGGATCTGTATACGTTGCCGTGCGAAAGTTTTCTATACATCGAGGGAAAATTCGCGACGAGAGAGAGCGCGAAGAAAGGCACGGCAAAGGAAAGCACGGCGAAGAAAGTTACGAAAGTGAAGCTAGTCAACAACTGCATCGCGTTTATGTTCGATGAGATTCGATACGAGCTCAATGGCGTGGAGATCGATAAGAGCAGAAACGTCGGCATAACGACCTTGATGAAAAACTACGCATCGTTGAGCTACGAGAGAAATAGAGCTTTACAGAACACCAGATAGGAAATATCGCCTATAGCGTTGGACGATTTCAACTTTTGCGTGCCTCTCAACGTACTTCTCGATTTCTGCGAAGATTACAAACGCATAGTGATAAACGCGCGACACGAACTCATTCTGATACGCGCTCGCAACGATAACAATTGCGTCGTGGCGCATTCAGATCAGAGACCGAAGATCATCTTGTTAAGAATACAGTGGCGATGCCACACGTGATACTTAATGACGTTAACAAACTGTCGCTTCTGCGAACGTTGGACAGTGGACGATATCTGAACATGGGCTTTCGTTCGTGGGATCTGTACGAATTTCCGCTGTTGCAAAGTACGACCAAGCATTCCTGGGCGGTAAAAGCGGCGACGCAATTGGAGAAACCGCGATACGTGATATTCGCGCTACAGACCGGAAGGAAAAACGTACCGTCGGAAGACGTTTCTAAATTCGACGATTGCAAGCTGACTAATATAAAACTCTATTTGAATTACGAATTCTATCCCTACGACGATATAAATCTAGATTTCGAGCGTAACAAGTTCGCAGTTCGTTGTACGATATGTATCTGAAATTTCGAAAGACGAAATTACGGGTGCGAGACCTGCGAACCGTTCATGACTGTCACTAGATTTCTGCAATACGGTCCGCTAGTGGTCATCGATTACTCCCGCCAGAACGAATCGATCAAGAGCGCCACCGTCGACGTTCGCGTAGAATTCGAATGCAAAGAGAACGTTCCGGCTAACACAACGGCTTATTGTCTCATCATTCACGATAGAGTTGTAGAGTATAACCCACTGACGAACATCGTACGTAAACTCATCGTAATCGCGATTTTCCTATGAGAATGATGCCGAACGTACCGATCTTCGTCGATCTGCAAGATCGTTTACCGTTCCGTTTATTATTTACCGTTCGGGAGAAATTTATGGTTAAAGAAGTGGCGATATTAAGAAATGGAAAAGAGCTGACTCATCGAATATTTCGAGAAGCGATACCCTGGAATCTTCTTACAAAGACGGAAAAATCTAAAGCGCTGGATAACCTCCAATCATCACGGCCTGCAGTGGAGCGACGGCGACGTCGCGTACAGACTCTCGAAGCACGTGATTCGAAACGGCGTGTGCGATCAATCGCGAGACGCGCCTAAACGAGTGTACGTCAAAGGCTTGGAGAAAAAGAAGTAGTTAGAGGAGATTCTCGGCTGCGATGTCATCGCGGACCACGACGTGATCGTCGAGACTATCGACGCGGATTTCGAGGATATAGAGCGCCTAAGCACTCTGGACGACGTTCGAGCATTTCACTGCGAGCGTCACGTTCGAGCATTTCACTGCGAGCGTCACGCATTGCGCTATGGAGAACGTATGCAAACTGTACGACTGGTGATTGAAACGACGGGAATGTATCATCGAATTATAATATCGCGTTAACGACTTATATCATATGTCAGATTGGTTTTCAATTATTGTATTATATATTAAATTCAGTGCTTATATATTATAATTAGATTCATTGCTTATACTATAATCGAATTCTTTTATCACTCGCTATACTTATATACATGCTTGAGGAAATACAAAAAAACATTGTTTATAATATATCTCACTTTATTTCATCTCAATCTTACATCCCAAAGTACAGAGCAACGAGTTCGCAATCGATAATGTCGTTACGATCGTAGGCATCGCTATCGCGTATGACTCTCGAGATATTTTCCGTATCCTTAGCAGTGAACGCGATATCCTTGAAACGTGCCAATTTCGCATCGATTTTTCCTAATATCTTGGTCAACGAGATAACGAGTCGACTGATGCAATGCTCGAGCTCAAACATGTTATTCACTGTTTCCTTCGACACGGCTAAGCGAGCCGCGGATGTTTTCAGACGTAATATCGTCAAGTTGTTGATTTTTCCGAAACGCACGGTCATATTTCCAATATGCGAAGGGGCTGGAAAGGACGGTTCTCCATTGGTACTCTGTAGATACTTCGAGAGAACGTGTCGTTGCTCGACAAGCTGCCTCCACGTATCGGGCGACATCGAGACCTCCTTGCCATGACTATCTCCCAGGATAATATTCACGCGCGAGGAGCGTTCAAGAGTGACACATACATTAAGAAACTTGTATCCCGTCTTAGTCAAGGAATATTTTCGTTCTAGAATTCTAACTGGATTGTTCGTACAACCGGCGTTACTATGACTCGACGCGATCAGCCTGTCATAAACTAGTAACCTTTCATATTGTAGCGGACGATTTCCCGATTCCGCAATCTGGTATATTAGGCAACGATTTCTTTAAACAAGCATCATCGAAAATTGATTACGCACAAGGATATATGGACATATCCGGAGTCCAGGTACCTTTTCTCTCGCCAGAAATCATAGTGGCATCACCAAGATCGGAATCGTTGGCCCTAATGTTAAACCCTAATGTTAAAATTGGATATGTACCGAATGAAATTGAAGATAACGCATGGAGTTTATCTAGGAGACACGGTCATGGAAAATGTTGCTCGGGAAAAGCATATTTAAATATCATAAACACACGGGATAAAGAAGTAGAGGTTAGAGTGCCGATCATAAATCTCAGACCTCTGAATGAGATGATTGACCTTTGTGAAACCAGAATAAAGACGTTAGATTATCAGGAAGAATTAACGAATTTCTTTTCGAAGGAAACCGAAAACAGTATTGATCCTAATAAAGAAGAATTGTTAGACGAAAATCAAAATAAAAATGTAATAAGTAGAGAGGAAAACGAGATTATGAATATAAATGGCATTGAGATTGTTAATGAAAATAAAAATGGAAATAAAAATAAGAATAAAAGTGAAAATGCAAAGACGAAAGAAGACGGAATTATAAATAACAAACATAAAGAAATTAAAACCTCCATAAATGGAGATAGAATTAATAAAAATTTAAAGGTCGAAAATAAAAATGAAATTAAAATGAGAGGAAGTAAAAAGAAAAATCCTAATTTCGATACTCAGCGAGAGGGAAGTTACCAAATCTCTGAGATATCCTCCCATCCCAAAATCCTCGGAGAGGGAAGTTACTAAACCTCGACCGAAAATTTAAAAAATTCTGAATTTCTTGGAGATGAAAATTGTCGAATCACTTCAAGAAATAATTCTGGAATTGCCGATGGAAGTTTCCGCACTCCTCGAGCATTTTCCAGCTCCGTCGGTTACGAGGAGAAAAATTACCAAATCTCACTATGTAATCCGACACAATCCTGTCTGGAGGAAAATAAAAATATTAACTCCTCAGTTTCGTTAGAAGGTGTTAAATTCCCGAGAGTTGGGATGATCTCGGAAAAAATGAATGAAAAAATGAACCCTCTCATGAAAATGAAAAAAATGAACCCTCTCACATTACCGCCAAAGAGTTTATGGAAAGGATACAAATAAATAAATCAAATGAAATAAATCATAACAAATTAGGAATGAAAAACAAAAAACCGTCTTCAAAAATTTTTAAATTAAAACAAAATCAATCTCAAGAGATTAAACGAATGTATACGAAAGTAGAAATCATAAGCATAAGGAAAAAGCTGTACAAGAGTTATAGAATAGTAGCAAAGGAAATGTAGCAACTAAATGCTTAATATTATCGGGAGGAAACCAAAGGGATAGACTCACAAAAATCATAGAATTATATTGACTAGAACACTTGAATGATTATGAAGAGGAGAGTGTGATAAATCTTATAATTAATAGTCAAGACAGGTTTCATATACCTGAGAAAAAACTGACGGCAACTAATGTTTTACAACATAAAATATCAACAACGGATGACCAGTCGATAAATATTCATATAGATTTCCGCAAATTCATAAAGAGGAAATAAACAAGCAGATAGGAGAGCTATTATAATAGAAGAGGGCATAGTAAAATCTTCACAATCGCCTTACAATACGCCCATATGGATTGTACCTAAGAAAGAGAATTCTCAAGGAAATAAACGATGGAGAATGATATTAGATTTCTGGACATTAAATGACAAAACTATCGGAGATGCGTATCCACTATCAAATATAGTTGATATTTTAGATCAACTGGGAGGAGCTCGATATTTTTCGGTATGCGATCTAGCTTCAGGATTTCATCAAATAAAAATGTATCCAGCAGTTAGCCATAAAACTGTTTTTACAACACCTTTTGGGCATTACGAATTTGATAGAATGCCATTTGAATTGAAAAATGCTCCCGCTACTTTCCAACGATTAATGAATTTAGTCTTATCCGGATTATAAGGAAAAGAATTATTTGTTTATATGGACAATATTGTTATTTATGCGTCGTCATTAGAAGAGCTTGAAAGAAAATATAATCTTTTAATAGATAAATTACGCGAGGCAAATTTAAAACTACAACTCGATAAATGTGAATTTAATTTTGAATTAATTTTTAAAATCAGAAGTAACTTATTTGGGATACGTTGTAGGAAAAAACAGAGTTAAACCTGATCCGATAAAATTAAAGGCTGTATGACGATTTCCTAGGCCCAAGACGCCTAAAAACATTAAACAATTTCTAGAACCAACAAGATATTACAGATTTATCCCTAATTTTCCTAAATTAACAAAATCCTTGACAAATTTATTAAAAAATGACGTAAGTAGTAAGTGGGGCACTATGGCACGTCAAAACAAACCTCCACCACCTTTCCATTGGCGCCAGGGGCGTGGCCCCCGACAGTAAAAAACTGGCAGTCACGTGGAAATGGAGCATTCTGATTGGTCGGTGCGGGTGGGAGGTGACAATTAGGTAATTAGGAGAGAAAGTGTCTGGGTGACCGTTCGGAGTCCGAAAACAAAATGGCGTTTGCGAAAAGAAATATGGCGGGTCTGTAAAAGGAATATACTTGTTGAGAATGGAATGCGACTTTTTGTGACACGCGGGATGGAACAATGAGAAGAAAACCAATTTTTTGTGGGATTTTATTGGCTGTATATGGGATATGAAGAATCACGTTTTTCTTAGGGCGAAAGGTTTCTCGACGCCTCATAGTCGGTGAATTTAGAAAAATTTCTCGACTCGTTTGACATTTTTTGTATGGAGGAAATGCAGGTTACAAGTGGATATAGATTTTGAAGACATGAGGTTTGTCAGAGTGTAATAACTGTTAGAATTATTCAGCCTGTCGTACGGTATTTGGGGGTGGAAAACAGGAACGAATAGGTTCACACTAGAGGTTTCTGACGACGACGATGAACTTGGAGTTATACGAGGATTTTATCCTATCCACAAACACGTGGGCTGAAAAA